CGATGGTGTCTGATGCCTGCGCACATAAGTACACACGAGCAAGTTATATCGCATCGTACGAGTCGAGGTCGTCGTCGACTAGGCGATGATACGGATACGCGAAACTCACTCTGCGTTTTGTCACGCCCTTCGAGTCATGTCCGCACACACCTATGTATCTTTATTATCATTACTTATCATTTACTCATTACTTATTTACATGTACGTACACACGCGCGTGCGATGAAAAGGGCTTGGCGTGCACGCGCGTGTACGATCCTATTCGTTATTCGTATTAATAATTACACGTAAGGCGTGTAACGATATTGAAATGTCTGCTGTTGCTGCTGTTGCTGCTGCTGCTGCTGCTGCTGAGAATATTTGGGCACGACATTCTCGTCACGCGACGTTCTCCTCTTGGAACGTTATTTTCTATTCGTGGAACGTTTAAAAATACCGATATGTATGCACATAATGCGCGATTTCGTTGGAAAAAAGAACCAACAACTCGAATTGCTGATTGCAACCGTACGAATTGCTGTTAGCATCGGTACGTGAAATAATTTTTTCTTGCAAGACAGAGAGGCAGACTCTTCTCGAGACGATCGAGATTCACGTTGAAATTTCACGTTTCGTCGTGATTTTAGGTACTAGTGTTTAGGTACTAAAGTAAGTTGTGCAAAATACTCCGGGGGCCATTGCGTATGTACACAGCAGGATTTATATGTTTCATATGTATATGTATTGAGGCGTTTACGAGCTGCGACACAGGTGTGGGTGTGGGTGTGGGTGTGGGTGTGGATGTGTAACGTTATCGTGGCATCGTAACGATGGTGTGGCGTCGATTTGGCGTCGGTAAAGCGTCCGTGTGGCGTCGATGTGGCGTCGGTGTGGCGTCGGCGTTAAATGTCGATGAAAAAACCGATGGCCAGTCTTTCGAGCTTTTCGGAGTTTTGTTTAAAGGATACGTCACGATTTGTTTGCTATACATGTCTGCTGCTTTGCAAATACAGCGAGCATCGTATGTAAGTGGGTACTTTGGTACTTTTGTTAAACAAAGACGCATTATTCTCGAGCTGTTCGAACGCGATTTCTCGCCACTTTACGCGTGTTTGCACGTTCGTCAATATGGTCAATAGCGTGGCATTGCAGGGAAACGGAGACACGCAAAAACGCGAGAGACGACTAAATTGCGTAGTGTACACGCATACAGACGAGTAATCTCTCTGTCTGACGTATTCGATCAGATAGATCGATAAATAGATATTTATTATTAGGTTTAATTTTCAATCAAAATTATCAAAATAAACGAACGGGATATTATAGAAACGAACGTGTTCGCTGGATCGATCGTGAATCGATCGTAACGGCCGTAAAAGTACTGTAATAATTTGGAAAAGAGGAATCACGCGTGCATTGTCTGCAAATGATGATGATCGGATCGATCGAAGCGGAGAAATCGTCAGCGCGCGGTGAATCCGAGGTGGATAGCCGAGAGAGGAACTCCGGTTTGCAAAGGTGGATCGATCGAACTTAATAATATAAGAATGTTTGCAAGGTGTACACACACACGTTCGCAAACATTCGCAAGCCGGATATTAATTCGCTGTCAATTTCCTTGAACGTTCGCGAATTACTGCTTCAGAGTAAAAATAAAAAAGTGTCGATTACAACGACAGCAGCATTTGTAATATCAAGCGGATCGCGAATCTTTCAAGAGGAAGGAATTCTCACTTACCCGAACGTCCACCAAATATCGAAACACATGACGTTCAGCCAGAAGAAACTAGCCAAGAAGGAGAAGTAGATGACGAACGCTGAAACAAAGTTCCATCCAAGTGAATATTCAAGTGAATGAATGTAAAATGCGCGGGAAACGCGGAAACGTTTGTAAGATTACGCGATATTATTTACGCGGCATAGATTTAGCTGCGAGCGGTGAGAGGAATAAGCGAGTACTTGGAAGGAATAAGCGTAACAAGTTTCGCAGAACACTCAATCTGTGTATTTATGATTTATAATTGACAAAATTATACACACGACTTACGTATCGTCGACATGTAACGTCGAAAGGACGATCGAAAGAGAAAAAGAGATGGAAACGCGCATGGCATAAGAGGGAAATGAACGCGGGAATAATATTCAACGTGTTGCGTTAAAAAAGGATCAAAAGGATCGGTGTTGCTGAATCGGTCGTTGATGATGACTTGGTGATGCAACGCGTGAGTAATGAACAATCGCTCTCTGTCTCTCTCTCTCTCTCTCTCACACACACACACACACACTCAATCGGTCTGTGTCTCACAGGCTTATAACAGATAGATTGGAAGCGGTGAGAGAAATCGATGGAAGCGATGGAAATGGAGGAACTGTACCAAAAACGATGCAGAGGGGATCCGAAATGTGTTGCTGCGGAGTGATCTGCACGACCGCGAGTATCACGTAGGCAACTATCAAGGAACCAACGTATCCGCGAAGCGTGCGACCGTGCATGTTTTTAAATTCCGGTATCAAGGTATAGACGATAAACGTGGCGAGGAGGAACGGCACCGATACGATCAGTCCGACGGGGAATACCACCGTGAGTTTCACAATCTCCTTCGTCTCCGACTGGCCCGAATCGAAACAGAGTACCACGTCGAACGATTTGGCCTCGAGCTCGACGATGCCGAGGCAGTAGTCGGTCTCTCGCAGAACTTTATCCTCGTTTCTCTTGTAGATCGAGCCGTTGTCCAGAAGCATAAACTCATCGTTCGGAATCTCCTCCGGCACGAGTTTGTAGCGTTGACGATCGACGCAAGGATCCCGCACGAACAAATGGAAATAGCCCGGACGATTCGGCGCTGCGTCGATCAGCGACAAGTCCTCGGCGCGGTAAAGGGCCGGGAAGCGAAATCCCGTGACGTTCGTTTCGAAGCAACGATTCCTTGTCAAGCGATAGCCGTATTCACAGCACAAGGGTAGACGCGTTCTTCTCCCCTTTTCTGCTTCATCCACATCCGTGCTTCCTCCTACGACGCTCGTCGGCGTCGGCGTCGGCGTCGGCCTCGTCTCCGAGACGTTTCTCCCTTCGTCCTCCATGTCCATCGTCTCCTTCACCGTCACCGTTGATTCACCGTCCTTACTTTCCGCGAATTCTCGATCAGCGACTCCCCGAGTTGTATCATTGTCCGACCATTGCTGCATCGCGTTCGTCGACAACATCGCCAATATCGACAACAGGCTGGTCACGACCCGTCGACGAAACATCACGTCGCTCAACGTGCAGCAGCTACGTTCTACCTCGTTCTCGAGCAACTAATCGCGTGTATTTATCGTCGTCGCCGGATTTTCAACGACCGCAGGCATTATTATCGCGCTCACGCGGAAATGACAAAATCCACTACGATCTGGCGGTGCTCGCGTAGCAGCCGACGACTATAAGTCAACTATAAAAAAAACATCGTCCGGAACTAGAAAGAAGGCTGCCGGAACGGCGGAGAGGTAAATAGGCAGAGAGAGAGAGAGAGAGAGAGAGAGACAGAGACAGAGACAGATAGTTACCTGCACCACTCCCCCCACGACTCACGCACGCACGTTATACACGAGTTTATTATTTGTATTTTCCCGATAGTTAGGTTTCGTCGGTCGCAATACGTTTGCCTTTTCTCCAGCTTCTCGTCGAGAGATGCCTACTTATCGCGTTACACCGTATATCCCGGCAAGTGACAAACTCGCGCCAATAATAACGTTGATACCAATCGTCAACCTATCCGTCCATGTTGTCTTTCGTCCTTCCTTCTAATTTCGTTAATTTCTCATCGTTCATCGATGTACACGCTTTTGTACGCTTTCGGTGTTCGGTGTTTACAGTGTTTACGCGCTGTTGGAAAGTGAAAATTAGACGACGAAATTTTCGTATTTCCTAATAGAAGGAACTCTCCTCGTGTTTTACGACCTTGCGCGTCATCGTTGTCCAAACTGTCGATCTCTTTCGTCTCCCTCGCCAACGATTCTCTCTCTTCTTTCTCACAGCCTAGCTATCGCACTGGCTATCGCAGCTAAATCTTTGCTTGAAAATGAACAAATGAATCCCGCGAATATCGAACGAATGATCTTTCGTTGTAATAATAATAATAATAATAATAATAA